GCGCCAAACAGGCTAATACGGGAAAAAGAAGTGCTTGGCACTGGGCTGAGCATCCCCTCATGCTTGGGCGTGTCCTGTTCTTCCAACATGTCTTGAAGATCCTCTTGGTTTATACTGACTTGGTTGGCTCAAGAGCCCTACCGAACACGTTTTTTGATACTCAAAACAACCCGCAACCATCCACGGTCGAAGCATCTGGATGCGGAAAGCCCACGGTCGAACATCAGCGCAACAAATGGTCCTGTGGAAAAAGGTGGGCCAAAGGTCTGGTGGTCAGAAGGTGTTGGTGGTTCCATTAGGTGTGGTCGGCAGGTCCGCCAGGTCCTGATAGGGCCGGTCGGAGGTGTCGTTGTGCTGCACCTTGGCGGTGCAGTCGGGCATAGATCGCCGATTCTAGACGTCTAGACGAGGACCGGAGACAAGCAAAGAAAGCTCGAAACCTCTCATGGCGTGTCTTCAAGGTTTGACATGGTTCTAGACTGTAGCAACTTGAGAATGGTTGGTGAGACGAAGAAACACAGAGCATATGGATATGGACCTGGACCAGCACCACGGATTCCGGGTGTCCATGAATAGCTCCGAAAAGAGGTCAAGGGGTGTCCATGAACCACCCCGACTGGGGGTCCAGGGATGTAGTAACAGAGGGAGACCGAACCGCCGTCGTTCCGACCCCCCTAGAAGGTTCGGAGAAAACGGCCAAGACGGGCTATAAAGGGGTCTGTCTGGGACCGTAAAACGAGCAACCAAAGGATCATCTCTTCAGTCTGTGGGACCAGTCGTCTTCGTCTTCATCTTCGGATCTGCGACAGCTGTGACAGCGGAGCCAGTCCGAAGTCAAGAGAGCTGGGCCGGTCCAAAGACCCGCTGTTTTACTCCATGGCTAAAGCTCCCAAACCCATGCCGATCCTGGACCGATGCCGCTTTGATCCTGGCAATGTTTATATGAGCCTCGTCTCCGACTTGCAATCGACCAAGCTCGGCTTTCATAGCCTTTTCCAGTGCCGTGTGAAACGCACTCACAAACCCATGCCTTTTGGCACACTTCTCGGCCAAAAGCCACTTCAGGAGCCTCCAGTCGCGTTCCCAAAACACACACCAAACTGCCTTTCAATTTCGGAGTCAACGGGGTGCCAGTGCTCTTGGTTGGCTCTTTTGATGTCCGCAACAACAACAACAACAACAGCAAGGAGAAAACAATGACAAACGACCTGTCTTACTGCTATTCTCCAACAGGTCAACGACAGCAAACCTGCCACTTCCTTGATGAAGTGCTCAACCCCGACGTCCAAGCATCTCCGTTTGGACCTCCCCAAACCCTTTCCATCCCAAAGGTCCTTCGTGCGTCCTGAACGTCTTCCGATGTTCTAAACGTCCTCCACGAACTGCAATGCACCCCAACTCCGCGTGGGACAACGCACGGACGGACGACGCCGAGCATGCGAATCTGTTTTTGGACTCCAAGGGGCCGCATACCATCCATAAAAGGGCATCCCAGCGGCGAGAGCCTGGCCATCGGAGCAGCATGGCATGGGGCATTGGGCCGTGGTGATGTTTCATGGATTTCATCAACACAGGAATTGTCTTCAGTCCCTATAGGGATCCAAGTACCTTCTCAGAAGGCACCTGGACCCTCCTGGCACCCACCCCAGTCCCACCTTCTGAGAAGGCACTTGGAATTGTCTTTGAGTCAATTGAGGTATCCTCTTTTTGGAGCTCTGCCGCTGCGCCCAGCTCAGAACGGTGTCAACCCACGACATACAAAGATGTCGGGGATCAATCGTCACCAACTGCTTTTGGTTTTGAGTCTTGAATCTCAGACACTGCATGGGACCGGCATATTTACCCACATTGGGGTGGTGCCAGGGGGGTCAATGGGGCGGCAGTCCTATGGCAGTCCCAAACACGTCGTGTCTGGGAATGCTTTTTGGTGACTACGAATTGATCGGGTTAAGGTTGATGAGGGGCCTGTACGATCACACAAGATCCTCCAGAAGCCTGGACTCTCCGGGGAACCCGATGGATCGGTAGGGTGGAAATCCACCCACTAAAACACTTGGATCTCTTGCTCATGAAGGTGGATCCAGGTCGTCTTCAGGGCCCTTCAGTTGCTCTGGGCGTTGGACTTGGATGAGCATTCGAACTTTGCAAGCCTTTGAGGAGTTCGGAATGGTAGAGAATGTCTTTGTCACGGTGGACGAGGTGGATAAGAGCCTTTGTGGATAGCCCCCGACACGCCAGGCACAGTAGACCTGCAAGGGTCGGATTTGAGACACCCACCACCTGAAGCTGGAAAAGAACATCTGCTGGAACTTAGTGATTGAGTGCCCGAAGTCTTCGTAGAAAAAACCACCTGTCACGACCTGAACTCCTCGACGTCCGTGAAACCCGTCAAACACCGGTGTCGCCCGGGTTTCCTGTTTCCTTCTTCGCTTCCGACCAAGCAGCACCCTCTTCGCTTCCGACTCGAGTCTTCACTGCCATGGGGGTTCCCCGCTGGGCTCGGCGATTCACCCGCGGCCTTCATGACCTCTGGTGGCTCTTCCCCTTCGTTGAACCTCACCGCCAGCTGCGTATTGAGAACATAGAACAAAAACATGATGCCTGCGAACGATAGTGAACTGCCGTCCAAATGGTTGAAGTAGTCATCGATATGATATACTGGTACTGGTATTTATTGGTACTAGTAGCTGAAAGCGTGAGGTAAGTTGGGCAGAGTGCAATCAGTCTCAACTCAACCCTGCTGAGATGCTTGTGTTGTGTGGAAACGGAACTTCAGTCAGGCACTTGTTTAAACGTTGGGTTCAGTTTGTGTGGGTTTCACATTAGGTTGCGCACCTTTGCTTGAGTTGTAGTTTGCATGTGACAAACAATTAGCGAAGATTTGGGTGGGGAACCTTAACAACTACCGTCAGCCATCCAGAAAAAATGACAGGTGCACACAAAAAGCACACAAACCGGCCAAACCTGAGGCAATCCTTTTTCACTTTCCCCCTGTTCGGCCCAAGCACTTCCAACTTCGGCCGCCGTTGAGGAACTCCCACTCGGCCTGGTGTTTGGGCCGTGTTTCCGGCCATGGACTGGCCGGATGGAAGAACTTGGTCCATTTTCTGGAGACGAATCGATCACAGTTGATCCCTTGTGATAGAAAGCGCGTGACTTCCTAAGTCATCATCCTTTGCGCGAGAAAACTATCATATACTAAACTTGGCGGTGCTACGCCTAGCCTTTGACATCGCCAGCATTTGTGCTATGCCTGATTTCAGCAATGACAGATGACAGATCGTGTGGCACAAAGCTCAATACAAAATAACATATATTATTTCCTAGTAGGTTGGAGGCCATCGCTTTTAGGTTGGAGGCCATCGCCAGTAGGGTGGGCTTAAAATTCAGACTCCCTCACCATCCCTCACCTACCTTTTCCGCTTCTCCTGGCCTGATCCCCAAGGGCACGCCGCAGCGGCATGACCTGCACCAAAACCACCCTGGTGTTTTCTCACTCTGCGAAACACGTGGCAGAAGGTCAAATCAATAGCAGCTGTTCCTGAGGACAATAAATCAGAGCTACTTCAGCAACGAGATCAGAGCTGCTAGCTAACTTGGGATGGTTGGTGGCAATCTGAAACGCAGGCTAGAATCTTCCCTTTTCTGCAACCCAACATGAGCGTTTCTATTGGGGACACTGAACAAAACAGTTCGACACGAACTTGGAGAAGGAACGTCTACTCCTCTAAATGATGGTGATTTGGAGGACGTACCTCTGGTTTACGACAGCTGAAACCCTGGGCTTGAGTGTTTAGGCACTGAATATACACTGTAACACATTCACGTTGGATCCCAAGTGCAAAAGCATATTATATGTTACGAGTACCCTCCCAAATCTATGTTGGACTCTCAAAATAACCCCCAAGCCAATGTGCCACCGAAGAAGATCAACTCTCCCTCTTTCTCGTGCATGGAAGCATCAAAAGGAGGGGTCCTCATTGAGTCTTGCGTGGCACGCATCATTCACACACACGTGGCACTCATCGTGAAGCTCACCTTGCCAGGCTCCAGACTAAATAGATCCCTCAGAGTAGAAATGGGTGAGTTGAAATGGCGAACCACACGCAAAGGGCACACATGTCGGGGCTAACAAGAACAAAATCAAACAACTACAAACATGCCAGGCATCTAGCCTGGCAAAAAAGACTGTGGTGGTGTCTACCAGCACCTTCAAAGGGGTCACCTGGCTGGAAGCCCCTACACTACTAAGGGACCTCCAGACAGGACACCCCCTGAAGATCCAGGTATGTTTTTTGCGCCCAAACTTTGGCCGCCGACCTGGTATTTCATGATGTTGGCATTCGATCCTCCTCCATGAAGTGCCAACACCTGGTACTTCATGTGTCCGATCGCGGCAGGCCGGCTGAAAGGGCCAAGGAGCGGGTTGGAAGAGGTGTTGGCCTGTTTGGGGATGGACGGGTACAAACAGGTTTGGAATGGTTTGGATGTGTCACCTTAACGCGATGAGACTAAGAAGTGGTATGTAAAACAAGTTCGCAGTGATTCAAAAGGTTACTCTCCTCATGCCAAGACCTCAATTTAGGTGACTTCCTTTCGGTCTACTAACAGCAACATCCAAAACAACTGATCAAATTAAAATTGAAAAGTCCTGAATTGCATGTAAATAGCCCATGTACTAGCCCATGTATATGCCACTCACCCAAAAGTCAAGGCCACAAACTTCTCAGCCATCTAATCAGCCGCAGGTAGCAGGTAAGTATAGTCTTACTGGTCCTGAGAAAGGAAGGCAGCCCTTGATACCATCCAAATTCATCTAAAGCAATGGTCCAGTGTTTTGCCACAGAATTGAAACATATTAAAACTTTGCTTTCAGACTAGTCAGTGGAACCAAATTCCAGATATATCCTGGTGTCGACCCTGTCAGCCTTAATTTTCGACCTCTCCTCTTTTTCGGGATCCCCCCATGCTTGCCTTGATCTTCCTGCCGATGGGCTTTGGCTTCGACTCCGGCAACACGTAGCCCGACCTCTTTGCAGGGCGAGGGAAAATACGCTTATCTCCACACACCCTCCAACAGGTCACCACCTGCGACTTCAACTTGGCCATCGAACAGTTCCCCAAAGAAGACCCTCTTGGAATTCCCACCCAAACCTGGAAAAAGGGCGACCGGAAAGGGCTACTGGTGCCGGGCTCTCTCGACCCACGTCCTCGCCCCGTGCTCATAGAACGCTTCGCTTCTCTTTGGACCGTCACACGCCGAGCGAGAAGGGGATGTGATCAATCCCAAAGACTCGATCATAGCCTGACGCACGTGTCAAACGGGCGTGTGCTGCCGGGCGCTGAACACGGAAGGCGAAGGACACGGGTCCCGTGTGCTGCCGGGTGCGCCACGCGGAGCGCGAGCACGAGCACGCGGTGTCTTGGGGTGTTCCACCACGACCCAAACGCGGTCGCTCTGTGCAACGGAGAGATGGTCTTGAAGATGGGTGTTCGGACGCACCTATAGAGACGATCGACGGTGGTCTCCTTCGGATTCTGGTAGCTCCTCTCTCTTTTTCCGAACGAGACAAATACCTGGACCGTGAACCCAAAATGGGTGGTCCTGGCTGGAGATCCCGACGTGTAGGGTAGTGCCAGGACACCCAAACAGGATGGTCCTGGCATGTACCCTTGGTACGACCCCTGGGAGGAAAACCCTTGTACCGGTATGCACACTGGGACAGGATGGTCCCATTCAAGAATCAACCCTTGGTCACGGACTGCACTCCCTCGGGTCGTTCTGGTAGTGACCGCCCCGTCCGTGTCGATCGCCCGTGGAGCTACGTCGCACCCGAAAGAAAACCAGGGTTTTGAGAGTATACAAACCCTTGAGATAGAGGGTTCGTCCCCTAAGGAGGGTCTTTTCGGATCCTTATAGGGATCGCTTTTGGTCCTACCAAACCCCTCGCCGAGTCGGCCTACCGACGGAGACTTAGGACCTCTTGAGACCGAGTCCGGAGACATGGAGATGTTAACATCTGCGCCAAAGCCAGGTTGGGAACACTCCCCAGCTTTGACATGACGATATTGGACTGCCAAGTGAAATGGGGGCTTCTCTCTTTTGGGGGCTTCCGTTTACAGCAATCCTCACCCAAATCTGTCGATTCTCCCTATAATCATTCTGATACAGAGCTGGCCCCCCATGTTCATGTTGCACATGTTGCACATGTTGCACTTGTTGCTTGGTGTAAAGGTGATCATAAAGAGGTGATGACGGTAAAGCATCGTTTCAACGACACCGGTGAGAAGAGATACCCGGTCCGCCGGTCAGCTCCGATGACGAAGAAGCGCTACTGGACGTACGGTGGGCAGAACGGTGTTGCGTCGAGAGAGATGTGTTTCAGCTCCGAATCATCTAGTGATGACGTTCGGATGCAGAAACCTCTCCATGTTTTTTATGGGGTGCCCAAGCAAATGCCAAGCCGTCATCCCGAATCCTTCGCCACACTCTTCCGGATCCGGTGCCCAAGGCACATGTCAAGTTGCCCCAGGCATGTGCCAGCGCGGCACGCACCGGGCCAGTGCGCCAATCATGGATCACGCTCCAGTGCAAGTAGCGCACCAAATCGGGGCTCCGCCAAGCATCTGGAGACTGTGGATGAAGGAGATGGAAGGAGGGGGGTGGGATGGGATGAAGAATTCCACGTCCAAGCGGATCAGGGATGCCAAAACCAGGAGCGGTTTTGATCTCCACCCCACCCGGGTTCCTGGGGTGGTGATACCTAGATCTTCCAACGGCCTGCCACATTTCTGCCTAACTTGGCTTTTCTTTATGGATGAAGGTTCGACAGAACTTGGGCATATAATGGCACAAGTCGTGATCACAGGTTCCTTGGCCACCTATACTGGCCTCTACTTTGAACACTTGCGGCGGGTGAAATGCAATGGACATGCAAAGTTGGAAGATCATGGCCGGATCCCAGCTGGTGCAGCGCAGAGCCCTGCAGCCCAGTGGCGATTGAAGCAGTTCACTTCGTCCACTTCGGCGCCCAGCAGATGAGCCACCTCCCGATGCACCCAGACCTCAACGGCGGGAACAAAAACGAATCCTGGTCGGAGTTCAGAATTCCAGGGAGATGAAAAGCAGGGCGCCCGTGCTTTTGCGTATATTGAACATCTGTGGAGGGCGGTTTGTTTTTGTTGGGCGCGTCTTTCTCGGAGGGAAATGCAAGAGGATGAAGGACCTGTCTCCAAAAACACTGAACTGTCTTGTGCGACTCGTAGCAGAGTCAGCGAGCCGCACAAACATTCGTCTGACCACGTGGGAAAAACCATCAACAAATGACCAAGTTAACATCCAAACCATTCCAAACCCAAGCTTTCTCCAATGATTTCACACCATCTCATGTATGATATGTGAGCTCTTTTCATTCAACCCCCCCTCACTGAGTCCGTGCAGCTCCCCACACTTCGCTGTCAGCCTGGTCACGGCGTTCACCATGCCCGCCAGGCGCCACAAGCTGTAGCCGAAGGGGGCGAACTCCGCCGAGGCACCGCTCAAGGAGCAGCCGTGGCTGGTGAAGCGAAACCCCACGGAGCTCCACCTGTCGACCGAGACCACGCTCCCTGGAAGACGTCGTGGGTGAGCTAGTAGTGGAGAGCCTCTCCCCTCGTGTTCTCAGAGACCTTGTTCTTCTCAGCTGGGTAGATCCAAAAACCACCAGCTGGGTGAGCATACCTGGGAGACCCCCGCCGAGCTAGCTCACTCGACGCACTCGATCTTCTCAGCTGGGGGAGAAGGCTAGTAGACGCCAACCCATGCTCCAAAGCGCCAACCGAACCCCGCGAGGGTAGCCTTACTGGTCGGTCGAGTCTCCCGAGCTACACACCCCACCCAGCTGGGCAGTGGAAGTACTTGGATCTACGTCACACATGGAATGTGGGTTTCCACTTTATAAAGGAACATCGTCCTCCAAGGCTCTATGTTCCAATTTCATGTGGGTTGTGTATCCAAATAGGGAGACCTCCCAGGCAATGACTTTGCTGGAAGAAGGGAAATAGACCTATGCAGCGTGCCACAATGTTCGTGCTGGAATGGAGATCTTGAATACCAGTTGAATACCAAGAGTCAAGAGTGGTGAAAGTCTGAAATACACGGCAAAACATTGCAAAACGATCTTCATCCCCACACACACACATAAAGCATCATAAAGCTCAACGGATCGAGCATAAGTTCTGAAGCTGACTCACGAGTGCAGTAGCCCTTAATTAGAGCGCTGGACACCTGATGCCTGAAAAACAGTCCTGAGAGGGAACACAGCCCTTCCCCTATGAGGGGTACAGGAGGGTTGAATGTACACAGAAAGAACCTATGAGGCCATGAGTCCATGATGGCCCATGAGTCCAACTTAGCCCAGGAGACTTGAATGTTTCACCTTTGGCTCATCAAAATAAGTTATATAGGATGTTATATGTGGTTGGAATCCCTCCCCACGCGTGCGACCACCGGTTCGAACGACTTGGGGTATCAGAAATTGGATGAGCAACTTGACTTGCTTGGATCCAGCAATGCCAGCAACCTTGGAAGAAACTCTAAGGTACCAGTTCTGTTCCAAGCTGCTGCCGAACACGAGCCGAGCCAAGGCCAAGCCACTTGGCCCAGGATTTGCTCCAGTCAGAATGGCATTGTCCTCAGGTTTCGACGAATTTTGACAGCAAGTTGAAGAACAGAGCTGACTACCTTAAGAATCCTTGGGCCCTCCATAGTATAGTGGTTGGACTCTCCTATAGGTTCGGGGTCCGGACCCGAACCAAAACCTCTGTGTTTTGGTTTGGGCCCGGGTTCTTGGGGTTATGATCTATTTGGTGTAGTCCAGTCCAACCCCATGGATCCACTGCCACCTTCTGAGAAGGCGATTGGAGACACCATTCTGTAGGCGACGGAGGCTCCAATGACCATAGTCCAACATAGGACGGTACGAACGGAGCATTTCGGGCATCGCTACGAACGGAACAAGAACGCTATTAGGGGTTCCTGGCCTTACTACTATTACTAGGAGCAAAGAAACTACTATAGGACGTTTTTTTTGGAGAAATCCGAGAGGTCGGCCGATCGCACGGTCCAGTGCCGTGCCCTTTCCAGGACCGTTCGGCAGTCTTTGGACCACCGTGGGGCGACGTGGGCCTACAAGTCTGGAAGACTACAACAAGTCTGGAACAAAGATCTGCATCTCCAAGGCTACACTCACCCACGGAGGTGACGACGCCAGGTCAGCTTCACTCTGTCTCCTCGCACTGGGCCCATCTCTTGCACATTTCTATCACCTCCCAGACCCTGAACCATCGAAAACCACCTCACAGACCTCGTCCGACCGCAAACACCACACGGAAACACCGGACCGGACCTCCCCCCACACCGGACTCGCAATTCAGATGGATCGTCTCACGAAGCGCAAGGGCGGAGGAATGCTCCAATTGATCTCCATGATGATGAACTTGGGGCCTCGGGGCCGCACGTGACGTCGATGAGAGACGCCCGAGACGCATCGGTACGTGACGTCGCGTACGAAGAGTGTCGTTGAGACGCATCGGCACGTCGACGGAAATCGAAGGCGCGGATGATCGAAGCTCAGCGGCGCAGCAAGCGCAGGGCCAAGGCTGCTAACACACAGTCGCAGCCATCCACATCGACTTTCCTGGCCATTCATTTGCGACCAGAGTTTCGGAACCAAATAACAAAAGTGACGTCCAAGATCGTCCAACATAGTAGATAGACAGTCATGCCTTCACGCCCTTGGCCTGAAGAATGGAGAGAAATCAACGCAATTCCACCCCAGTTTCCAAGTTCAGGGCATCTCGGGAAGCTTTGTGTTCCAAGCCGAAGCTTGATCGAAGTCACTTGGCAGGAGATGTTGGAGTGGACTCAGGACACCCCCCCTTGATCTCTTTGAGGGTTCCGAATTCAAAGACCCCTTGATCAAACAACTGGAGGAACATCCCCCAAATCACCTCTAGTTTTTTTGGGGGGTCGGGTCGTCACCGGTGCTCTGACCGAGTGCTGCCCAGGCTTCAGTACATCGATTGGTAGAGGGCCTCGATCAAAGCCCACCTGATAGGGTCTGAGGGTCTGAGGGTCTGACGTAGAGCCCAAGAAGTCCCACCATCCAGTATATACAAATTGACGTATTACGTATAGTGTACTACACCAAGGCTTCACGCAAATGATGGACCTGACTGTCTTGAAACTTACTTTTGTTGATCTCGTGATCAAGAACACGTCAGTTTAACAACATACGGTAACATACGTTCCTGGAAACCCAGCCTCATGTCGGCAGTTGTGCTATCTCTGCTGGTTGATTGTTTCAATGATGACAGTACTGGACATCGTCGGACCAGCAATCATAGTTTTTTTCTTCCGAAGAAGAAGAAGAAAAAGAAGAAGAAGAAGAAGAAGACAACACCCCTGAACACTTCGTAGAGTCCCTCTACTGTCTCACCCACATTCGCATCTGTCCAGCTGACACTCATTCCAAATTGACCCTTGCGCAGCAAAGGATCACTGTCAAGGGCTCCTGACACATCCATGTGGATGTCAATCAAAACATCCTCTCTATACAAGCCCGGGTTCACTCACTGACTGACATTCTGGATGTCAAAGCTTCAGTAGCCAGCAGTTCCCTCAAAAAGGCTCTCACAAAGGGCACCAGGGTCTGTCCTGCTTAATGGAACCTTTTGATATCTTTTGATACACAAACCCCAATGGAGTCCCCTGAAACCGCAGTGTTTACATGTTGTTCAGCTCTCCACCCCTCCACCCACCCGTCTTGCACGGCTTCCATTCCATCCACTCTACTGCCCCGGTCAGTGCGGATGTGTCGATCAAATAGGGGCGTTCCGACCCCGAGAAAGCTTTGGGAAATAGACCAGTCTACCCAGCCAAAGCCAAAAGCGGTCTACCCTCTGAAAATCACACAAGGACTCTTCAGTGGATCCGTGAATAGTACCTTGCACTCGAGAACTGAGGAACTTTGGCCTTGGTTCGTGCTACCACCCCTCCGCCTGCAGCCCGCCGCGCCGCAGCAGCTCCGCCAGATTCTCCGGCTCCGCGAAGCTCCGGAGGAAGCGCACGCGCTTCGCGTCGGGCGGCGTCTCGTTGCGCGGAGGGCCCAAAGGATCGACGAAGAGGCCCGAGGCGTTGCGGTGCTCGGCCAAGTCCTGGGCCAAGAAACCCCGTGGAGGCTCCTGGTGGATGGTGGGTGCAGAGTGGATGGTGGGTGGAGGGCGCAGGTAGGTGGGCAGGAAGTGAAATAGGAGATTACACCTGAAGTGTGTGGGCCACAATGCATGAAAGCATGAGTCTCATAATGAACTGTCTCCATTTGAGAACTTGGGGGTCTGCTTTCAGCGACCAACCCTTTCTGAATTTTACAGTAGAACTACAGCGACAAGCAGTGGAGGAACTTGAAGATAAGAAGATTTATAAGCCCACCTTTCATGGCATCCAACAAAATCTGCGACCCTGCAAGTGGCTTTCCATCACCTGCTCATGGACTCACACTGACACATTTTACCTCTTGAAGACCAAACATGAAAATCCTAGCCATGAGCTGCCTCAGACTCAGCCCTAGTTCACCCTCCAAGACGCAATCTCAACCCCCAAACCGCATCTTTTCCCCAGATCTTAGCCACATCCGATGTACTTCGGGCGCCGGAACCCTGAACTGTTTCTGGCATCCAGACACTTCCAGGCAGCTCCAACCGCGAACTTCTCGGAGTGTCCACCTGCCCCTCCCCCAGGCACTACATCCACTGCTACATCCACCGCTTCCCTTGATTTCGCCCGGCAGCCCAGAGGGGATCGCGCCAGCTGCCGCCGCCGAGGTTCACGAGTTTTCGGCTCATGGGCACCTGAACTGAAGAAGCAGAAGCGCACCGCTCGGAAGGCGCCAGGCTGCCAGGGCGCTCTTTTTGGGTGTTGGGTGTGTGTGTGTTCTTTTGTTTGGTGACCTCTTGCAAGAGAGGTGGTTCTTGCAGGAGAGGTTGGGGCATGAAGCAATCTTTAAGCAATCCAATGTTTGGTTGTGACCTTTTGGATATGACTGTTGCAATATGACTTTTGCAATATGCAATCCAACATGTGTTCGGTTTGGAAGATCTGTTTCTCTTGTCATGGGTTATCATTCAGGACTTGGCCATACAATCTGATGTGCAGGGCGACCATATTGATCAGGTATTTGGCAATGACCAGCAGAAAAAAAACAGTCATCCAATTATATAGTTCAACCATGTTCAACCAACATTGACTGCCAAAGGTGCTGCTCAACATGTTTGTTTCCTCTTCAAAGGCCTAGTTTTACCTTAATCTGCAAACAAAAGAAAACACATGCAAAAACGTTTGGATACTGGCGCTCCAGACCACCATCCGCACTTCCACACTGGAGGTGTCAATTGCCATCCCTCCACCCTAAAACTAACGAGAAAGTGAGGCAGTAGTCCCCATTTCACTTTTGTTCACTCCCCATTGGCATCAAAAGCCCAAATACACTCCACCATCCCATTCCATCCTCCATCTCCCTCCTCCACGCCTGTGCTGCCAACCGGTCAAAGGCCTCCAACATCACCGCGCCGTCGTCCTCGCGCAGCGCCTCCGGCCCGCAGTTCGGGTGCCCGCTCAAGCGGCCGAAACGATACAAGGCGCCTCAGTGGGCGCGCTCCACCGAGGCAATGCGAGGGTCGAAGGCACGGAGAAAGCACCATGAGGTCGAAGATGGGTTGGATATCTCACGGTAGAATACGATAGGTTTTATGATATTATAGGTCCTGGTAGGTTCTCTTGGTCGTCTTCCAAGTGCTTTGGATAGAGTGTGATAGATTTATATGTAAGGAGCTTCATTCTTCAAGTGTACAATGTTGAGGAAAGAGTTAATAAGTGATGGTCACCAGGTTGGTATGTAGACCAAGGTCCTCAAAAACAGTGATGCTATGTGCGTGCTGCTGAGCTTGATGCTACGTTCAACTCCTGGCTCAAATTGCTAAAGACCCCTTTTTGTTTAAAGCGATATAATATATATATATAATATAAATGACTATGTGGGAATTTGAGCCAAGAGTCTTGAGGGAGGTTTTTAAGGTTCTGAAGACCTCAGCACATACACGGACATACTGCCCAAAGACATCCAAAGACCGCAGGATCGGCCTGAGACCCAACATCCCTGGCTTCCATGACCCGCCAATGACCGCGTTTTGGGAGTTCCCCTCCGCTTCCAGTCCGCTTCCATCGTCTTCCATCGACGGCACGGGCAGCTTCATCCTCCTCTGAGACCTCTTGCCGTGCCGCTCCTGGGCGCATGCCTTGCGACATGAACCTTGGAGAGACTTTCAATTGGCCAAGGGTGGCGGGAATCGAAATTTAAGACCATGAGTGAAAAGATCCATCATGTATAGACTCTTGATTAATAAACAAGAGGTTTTACATGGTTTTGCAATGGGGGGCGGTTATTAATCAGGAGTCTAACATTACCTTGGGTAAGCCTCTGACTCAATGAAAAGTGGAACATGGATGTCGACGACTGTCCATCGCAGAGTGGGTTTCCCCACTGGCCATCAGAAGGCCGTGCCCCAAAAGGGTCGTTCTGGGAGGGGGCGGATGACCATTCCACTGGATGCAGTAGGTCTCAGAAACACCCCAAAAAACGTCGCCAAGTGGCATCTGAGTTGGGGCTGGACACATTCTAGAATTGTTCAAGATGAACATATGACATACGTTGACATACAACACATTCCACTTGAGCTTCAATGAGCTTCAGATTCCAATCCTCTGCCACTTGTGCCCGTCCCTTCCCAGCGTGGGCGCCGTTTGTGGACGTAGTTGCTGGCCTCGCCGCACCAGGGCCACTGAGTTTCCAGGCGTTCCATCTGCGAGACCAGCTCCTCTCCTTGGTCGCGTCGAAGTCTTGACTTCGTCCAGGCACTGGGAGTGCCGAGTTGGGTGCCGAAGGCGTCACGGGCCCCCGAAGCGCCATATCACATCCGGCCTTCGGACCGAGGTGGGGGTGGGACGAGCCCAACCACCCCCCGAGCGAGCGAGCTCTGTGACTGGTGAGAGTCATGGCCCGAAGGGCCGAGGTTCCAGGTGGTCGACGAAGCGCCGATGGGTTTGCCAATGCCATCTCAAAGACCATCCATTGTATTGTATATGGTTCCCTATATGGATGGGTCATTTTCATGGGGTATGTGTATGTGACAAATTCCATACATGGATAGTCTGGACAGAAGTCACCACATTGCTTGACAGGCTGGCACCGACGCCCTTTTAACCCACCAGAAGTCACTCGTGTTTCAAGACTGGATCTTCAGGATCTCGATAATGATCTGGAGGTATACCAGGTACCAGCGGTTCCACGGCAGGGTGCTTAACCAATGCCCCTCCAGAAGCCTGGCAAAAACCTCCCAAACCCAGCGCTTCAAGCTCCGCCTGTAAGTCAATGTTGTGGTACCTATAGCTGTCAATGTCAAGAGTCAAGATATTTCAAGCACTCAACTGTCAAGATCTCAAAGCACAGGACACATGCTCTGAACCAGTGCCCACTACCATTGCCCACCTCCGATCTGTGAACCGCACTCGCTCCGATGTGCATCGATTCGGCTGAGATCGATCGAGTGGCGCAGCGAGAGGGCTCGGCCGTGGCAGCAGCGCTTGGCTTCGCTGGGGCTCTTCCAGCAGGGGCCCTCGACCAGGTCCTCGGGAGGGTGGTGGAATGGGTGGTTCTTTTGGTTCCACAAGATCGGTGGCAACGGGTGGAGGGAGGGAATTGGGTTGCACAAAACAGGCTTGGGATCATTGAATAGGCTTGGTTGAGCTTGGCTGGCTGACGTGCTGCTATAGTGTTAAGTCCCTCAACATGGACATCCATCAACAACTATGGTGGTACTTCAACAAGCTGTGGTCAAGCCTAATTACTATACAACAAAGTTGGGAGATGTTCGAATCGACCCCTTTGTTTCCTACCTGCCCAGCAGTTTCTATAGGTGGTTTGCACTCTTTCGACCAAAAACGAAATCACCGCAAATCACGGTGTGATGAAACCATCACTCACAGCCACATAGGTGCCATAGCGGTTTCTTCCTATATGGCTATGGTAGAGCGTTTGGGTGTCCGTGGGCGTTGGGTATCGCCGCATCGGGTCGCATCTGCGGCAAAGGCACGAGATCTCGTGTCGGCCGATGGGGGTGGAAAAAACCATTCGCCGTAGAAACGTCCCAATGCTTTGAGGTCTCATCATTGGCCCTCAAAGCTTGAGACATGAGTTGAAAGGGGTAGTTCATCACACCACTTTGTAGAAGCTTCAGAATATCAGCACGTGAGGACGATAACAGCTGATTTGTGACCATTTCTAATGATCACCTTCTCATGTCTCATCTTCTTGTGTTGGATCAATCCGACGTTTTTTTCATTTTCTTGTGGTCAGAAGGTGTTTTTTCGACCCGACCGACCCGACATGGCCCCACCGCCGACTTGCTGGCCGCTTGCGGGGCGAACCCTGCGAGTTCGAGAGGTTCGCCCCGATCCTGGTTTAACCCTTAAAAGCAAAACGAAAAGAGGAGTGAGTGATTCATGACGATGGTGGATGATGATGATGCAAATGTATGGTGACGGTGATGTATAATGTATGTTGTATGATGTATGACTCTATGACGATGATGATGATGATGGTGATTTCCGGACGCTCACGAAAGACCTCTAAAGACAAACCCTCTCACACATACACACACTTAACAGCTCCCCGTCCCTTCAGCCGCGGGCTCGGCAGGGCCACAGCACAAGAAAGTCGTGTACAGTCCATCGAAGCAAAGCTCCGGAGGCCATTCCAACGCCATGCGAAACAAAGGCGTTGGTAGCGGGGACTTTGGGGGGTTGGAAAGGGCTGCGGATGAGAGAAGGATGCGAAGAATGCGATGTTGCTGGGACTTTCTTGTCGCTTTGGAGGTCTTTGGTACCCAAACATATGATTACTATTACATCGTACAGTATAGCATATCCTATCAGTGGCAAAGCCCTCTCAGTTGACGCAAAACACTTGAAGTTTGTAGATATAGAGACCGAGACCACTATTATCATCTATTACATAGAGAACAACAAAACACACATCACTAAGTGCCTATTATTTGTGAGCCTAAGTAGCCTTGCCCGTAAACGTGTTTATGTGTGTGTTTCACTTGTGCATGAACTGTTTTTGGCTCAAGGGCCAATACTTTTGGCTCAAGTGAGTGGCTAGGAGTAGTGCAAGTAGCTTCTCAGCTTCACTAGGCCGTTTCACCGTCTCACCAGCGTGACTGACCCGCGACCTCGCTCGTGCGAGCAGAAACAGCTGCGCGGCGTTCGTACGCGTGCTCGCAATTGGGGGCTGTTCTGGGAAAGCTTCCATCTGTGTGTGGAGGCTGGTCGCGGTCGGTGGTTGCGGTTCGCACCACCGGCGCGCTGGTGAGGAGGAACCGCGGGCGGGGCTCGTGGTTCACGGCCTTGCTGCGGGATGAGCCGAGAAGTTGCAGGAGAAGAAGAGGGCGTCACTCTGCTGGAAGCGATCCGGGATGGAAGGGTGCCTACCCCGGAAGAGATGACGTTCCCTCAGTGGCAGGCTTGGCGACGTGCCGCCGGCCGTAGGCCCACAAGGAGAAGGGACGGCAGAGGCCTGCCGACAGGTGAAGAAGTAGCCCTCTGGAGGAGCGTCATGGATGAGCTCTATGGCGAGGGCAGGGCGGCGGAACTTGACGAGGGCGATGAAGAGGAGGAGGAAGAGAGGCCGTCGGCATCGGCCTCCCCTTCTGTTGCGTCTCGTGAGGTCGCCTTGGTGAATAGCCCACGCCCGTCTTCAGTTGGCACTGGAGGAGTCAGCGTGGTGAGCCTTCGGGCCAAGTTGCAAGCGTTGTATGACCCTTCGGCGGAGGAATTCGGAGCGTACCTGATGCGTATGGGACGAATCATCTCCGCTCTCCAAGCCTTGGACGCAGCTGTTCCGCCGGGTCCGTTAGAGACAGTGACAAGAAAGGCGGAATTCATGATCGAACTGTATGGTGAGCATGGGGGTTTGGACAAAGTGAGAGCTGTGCGTTTCTTGCGAGACAAGTTCGTAGCTTACGCGCAGGATGAGACCTTAGACCCTCGAGAGAGAGACAGTTCGATCGCCGCGATCGGTGAGTTGATTGAACAATTAGGAGGGAAACCGAGTTCGAGCCCAGGAAAGGTGTATAGTACTCCGTCTGGAGCGGAGGAAGCAACGGTTCCTGTGGCTCGCGGTCCCGTCAGCGGTCTTCGCGACGTTGGACGCGGCCAACGGCCGGCGCCCGGTCCCGCTCCTAGTTTGGGACCGGAACAAGATGGGGATTTCTCCCTCAGGGCCAAGCTGGCAGCTCTGGAGATGGAGCTGGAGGCCATGAAACGAGAGAAAGCCGAATCAGAGGCCGGTTCAGCGTTGGGATCGGAGCAAGGCTTAGCAGCCGCCTTGGCCCAACAGAAGGCAGCGCTGGAGGCACAAACAAAGGTGCTCCAGGAAGCGTTGGGACGAGGCGGAGGCAACCAGTCTGTCACCGCGGTCAAAACAGACCTTCATTGGCCGACCTTGACAGACGAGCGCTCTGACTTCAAAGATGTCACCTTGTTCTATGAGGAGTTCGAGGATGTGTGCGCCTTAGCGAACTCCTGCCGTGGAATGAATGCCCGCGAGAAACTGCTGGCTCTCCGAGCGCGCTGCCGGGGAAGTAGGCTGAAGACCTACCAGAACCTGTACCGGTCCGCCTGGAAGTCCGGAGAGGTCCTGGAAGACCCCGAAGCAGTGTATGAGCGCATCAAATCGAAACATTTGATGTTTAGTGAGAGCCGAGAAGAGCGAGAGATCCGCGTCGATGCGGAGCATGTCGCGCTCATGAAGGGGAAGCTCACTGGTCACCAGTTCGAACCTTTGTTCGAAGCGTCGGTGGCGGAATTGGAAGCTGTGGGTCTTGGAAAGACGCAGCGAGAGCTTTTCCTCTCCTACTTGAGGAAGGTTGGGACCAGTCTCCAACGGGAGATTCGATCCGACAAGCGGCTTTGGGGACACGAAGACAAGCTCCGAGGGCCGCAGACCTGGGAGGAGGCTCATCGGGTCGTCCTCGAGTATGAGCAGCGAGAAGCGACTAACAAGGCCACCGCCAACGCCGTGTTCACGACCACCGGCGAAGCCACGCGTCTTGCTGCGGATCTCGCAAAAAAGGAGAAAGCAGAGAAGGCGAAGCGGGACAAGGCCAACAAGGAGGCGAACAAGGGAAAGGGCAGAGGCGATCAGGTGGCGATCACGTCTGGAGATCCCCGCAAGGACAAACTCTGCTGGGATTATCGTGATCACGGGAGCTGCAGAAAGGGTCGCGATTGTCCTTTCTCGCACGACAAAGAGCTGCGTATAGGAAGGAGCTTGAAAAGAAAGGCAAAGGGAAAGGGTCCGACTCCTATCCGGCGAAAGGCGACGGAAAGGGAGGTAAAGGGAAAGGCAAAGGAGGGAAGGGCAAGGCAGGAGATGCTAAGAAAAAGAAGAGCGAGAAGCAGTGCCCTTACTTTGCCAAGAACGGCGCGTGCAAGAAAGGCGCTGACTGTGACATGTCGCATGTTTTGGCAACCGATGTCGGTGCTACGGGCTCGGGAGGTGGACAAGGTTCCGCTCCAAGTGGGTGGGCAGCTCCAAGCGGGAACAGCGTGCTCAATCCGTTCGCCGCGTTCTGTGTGGTGACGGGTGGTTTAGAGCAGGCTCAACCTGCGGGTGCGGACGTCGTGTTCGCGTCCGCGCCGCGGAGTTCATCCCCTGGAGTTCCACAGAAGGGACCCTTCACCGAATTGGACGAGCTCCCAAAGGATTGGTGGCATGTCGTGCCGAATGAGCCTGGCGGTTATCAATACCGCACCGTCGTGCAAATCCTTGATAAGAAGGTCGACACGATGTTGGACGGATGCGCTGGGTCCAATCACATCACGGAAGAGCTGGTGGTCGGGATCATCAATCGGGCTGCGGAGCTAGGCTTGCGCCCGAATGACAAGAACTTTCCGATCATTCAGTTCGAAAAATGGCTGTATCCAGAGTACGTGCATGGGATTGCGAGCGGCTCACCCGTGCCGCTCAAGGGTGGCGTGGTTCTCCGCGTCCGTCTTCTTGAAGGGGACAACCCGGACCGGGCGAAGCCGGGACATGAGCTGTTCGTGAGGTGCAAGATCGCGTCAAAGGGGACTAGCGATTTCCATGGTTTGATCCTTGGGGGGCCGCGCGTTGGATTGCGAAGCGCGACGTGGGCTAGGTTTTCGACCTGGGCCCATGACCCATGTGCTGGACTCTCTAGGTGTGCATCTCCCGCGCTGTGAGAACTTCAGTGCGGAGAGGAAGGACAGAGCCTATCCTTTCCGGTCCATCCTCTCGGCAGTAGACCAGGAGGCTGAGGGACATCTGGAGCCGGAGACCGGGCCAAGGGCCATGGTAGTCTATGCAGGTGATGAAGGAGCGACGCTGCTTCCTGGGGAAGGCGCTCTCCTTCCTGTGCGAATTGCTGGCAGCTGGACGCCGGAAGTTTCGAGCTGTGAAGTGGTCCTTCCAGTTGCCGGCAAGGTGGAAGCAGTTCCCGGCATCTGGGACACAGGGGCTCGTGAGGGCATGGTCCTGGTGACGCCATACCAGGAAGAGGTCGTCCTTGAAGAAGGCGATCCAGTCGGAGAGCTCCGGGCAGGTGCAGTAGTCAGTGGGACTTGTTCTTGCGGAGCTGTCGACACAGTTTTCGTGAGCCAGACGGCCGGCCTAGAGCCGGACACCTGCCAGGAATGCGGATTGGAACAGCCCAGCCTCATTGGTTCAGTCTGCTATTCGTGCGGTCGGAAGGGAGAGATCAAGAGCACTCCACTCCAGGGGTGCAAGTGTCGCGCGAAAACACCTAGGAAGGCGCGTGAGTCAAGGAAGGGATATGGAGTGTTTGCCACGTTCGCGGTTGGGCTAGCTGCGCTCACTGCGGCGTACGCATTTGACCCGTCGCAATATGAGTCAAAGAGCTGGTCGCGGGCGGGGGCCTCGTTTTCGAGCCTTCGTCGCGAAGAATCGCGGGCGAGGACTTCGTTTTCGAATCCTCGTCGCGAGGAAGTGTGGGCCACCTTCCCCGGTGGTTGGGTGCGAACGCACCCGGAGGCCCGGGAGAAGCTGTTTGAGTTTAGTGAAGAAGCGTCGGCCCCACTCACGCTGAATGTCGACCAGCTGGATTCTCGAAGGGTCACGACAGGTCAGTTTTTGGATGGAGAGTCTCTCTTTTGGGAAGACTCGTGGCGTGAGGGCGACCCGTGGGTCTTTAAGGGACGTCCATGGGTAGGAGAAACCCGTTTCTACGCGGTGGGTCATGGTTCTGAAGGCTCTTGGAGGAGCACCATGACCGAGCCAGTGTTTCACATAGTGGAGGCGCCAGGCGGAATCGACAAAATGGCAGAGGAAACGCCAACGGAGCGCTACTACGATGCGCTCAGGAGGTCTCTGGAGAAGCGTTTTCCCAAGGCCAACCAATTCCTCCTGGATCACCTGATTTCGCTTGAAGCATTTTTGGACAAGTCGATCGTTTTTGGTTTCAGCTACGGGGTGGCTAAGGCGGAGATCTGCAAGGAAGGTGGCAAGCTGTTGGGACACATCGTTGGGAGGAATGGAAGCGAACCAGACCCTGAGCGAGCTAAGGCCGTAATGGACTTTGCACCGCTCAGAGAGAAACTCCATATCCAGCAATTTCTTGGATGCTCCGACTGGTTGCGCATGTACCTCCCCGCGGAGTACGGTGTTTGTTCCAAAATTTTGACTGGCTACCAACGGCCAGATGCGACCTTCCCACCTGAAGGGCTCGGATATGGCAGCACAGAAGGCTGCAAGGCTGTTCGGGCCATCAAGCGCATGTTGGCTAAGTCAATCAGCTTAGCTATGATTGACGAGGCCAGTGCCATCTCCGGAGCTTGTCCGCTTGAGCAGGTGGCCGATGCCAGCGGGTTTGCGGTCGGAGGTACCGTGGTCCAGATGACCAGAGACCACACAAGGCTGAAGGTGCTCCTCACGCACAGCAAAAGCCTCACGCCGCCGCAGCAAGCATGGCCGCCTCTAGTTCAGGAGGCCTTCGCTCAATTGGAGGTGAAAAGAGCCACAAGGAAAACATTTGGAACGATTCGAACCTTATGTTGGACAGATCACGCGAATCTGACAAAGGCCCAACACATCGATGTGGGGGCGGACGTGAAGCTAGTCAGATGGGTGGCTGAAATCCTTGCAGATGGGTCCGAAATTAGGTCACTGAGCGGCCGGAGCGCTAAGCTCGGGGATGGGTTTTCGCGAAACCCTCGAGATAGGGACGAGCTGCTCGAAAATCGGACCAAGGATCTGCAAGGAATGGCTGGTCAATTGAAGGGATTTGACTTGGAAGCCTACCTCGGTGGTGACACTGAGGATCCTGATATTCCGGTGGCGTGGGCTATCGGTAATGATGTAGTGCCAGGGGCTGCTAGCCTAGTGGACGGCGCTGATCCCTGTGGTGGAGTCCTCGTTTCGAGACTCTACGCGGGAGCAACAGGGACCAGGCAGCTCAAGGTCCTTTTTCTAGGTGACTATACGAAGCACATGGAGAATGCTTCAGAAATTGTCCGGCTCAGGAGCACTTTGGCCCGAGCGATGCCCGGTTGGGAAATCGCAGTGAGAGCATCAGAAGGCCCGTTCGAAGATGACGTAGGTAACACGTCTCACTTGGACGGTGCCACTGCCAACCTGAAAGGGGAAAGGCAAGTGAAGAGGTTGAGGGTCGACCTCCTCACTGCTTGCGCCAAAGCGCTTCGAGCCATGGGTTCGTACCTTCCTGATTTCGCGGTTGGAGTAGGACGGGGAGCAGTCGTGCTTGGGCTGCTCAGACTTCCGCTTGTTGTGGAGGTCACCCTGCAGGCGCGTAATCTGCAGAGGAAGGAAATCCGGGAAGTTGTGTCCGGATGGTCAGGGGTGAAGTCCATTTGGTGCGTTAATCCGCGCCTTTGGAGGACGCAAGCTGGGGGCGACTTGCTGAAAGCGGCCTGCCCTGAGGTCAGTCGAGTCTTTCCTGAAGAGCCGACCAAGGGTTTCGGGGTGGTGACCCGCTCGCCAAAGGAGGAGAGTTCGCGACAAGTTTGCGATATCCTCGGGCTTGGAGTCCTCAAGGACATTTCGGAGGCGCCTCTGATGAACTTGGCTGTGGAGCCAGGCAGGGATGTCTGGGAGCACGATGGAAGGTGCTCATGTGGCAAGCGGGCTTATGTGTTTGGGCGCTGCACCACTTGCATTGAAAAGGAGGCAAGTGATGATTTTCGGGCAGCTGCTGCTGCGCGGGAGGCGCTTGAACTAGAAGGCGCTGAAGCAAGGGATGGCGAACTCCTAGCAGAGGAGCTCATGGTATTGAGCGCCGTCCCCACGGCTCCGAATGAGCCCAAGGCTTGTTTTGTTAATTTTAGGTTAGTCCAAAGTTGGGCTAAAGCTTGGGAGGACAGTGGGCGTCCAGGAGGGTTTCATGACCTTCCTGGAAGGCTTGGAAAGGTAGCCGGGCTCGCCTGGGCGAAGGGAAAGAACCTGCAGTTGCCTAACTGTGGCACAGAAGGAACTCCTTATCGCGCGGCCTGGTGCGTGCACGAGGATGGTACAGTCACCGTCCTCCAGTCTTGTTTAAAGGTGAGCCAGTCGAAAAGGCTTCAGGCTTCATGGGAGCTTTCGGAAGTCAACTGGTTCAATCACGTCCTCCTGCTCAGTCGAGTCTGCGAGGCCACTTGGCAAAAAGGGATGCACTCTTCCCAGTGGCCTGCCGAGTTTAAAAGGTTGGTTTGGCTTGTGGGCGAGCCAACCGGAACCGTCGTTTGGGACGATGGCATCGGAAGCGAGGCTATCGGACGGCGGAGGGATTTGGGCTCTAAGCGAGTCCTGATGTGTTTCCAAAAGAAGGAAGCCGAAGGCTACTGGCTCCCGATCGCCTTAGGGAAAAAGGTCAGGGTAGATGAGGGTCATTCGCGTCCGACTCTCGCCATAGTAGGAAAGTCGGCTGAATTCAAAAAGGTCATAGTCTTGAGTACTAAACACTGGGTGGTCTCTTCGTGGTCCGGAAGGTCAACGATGTCAACGGGCATCGGAGCGATTGATGTTGAAGCCGAGATCCATGGACCACCTCTGCGGGCGGGGGATCCGCCTTCGGACCCCTGCCGCGGGACGGAGGATGGAGGACCAACGAGGGCAGAGCGTGCGCAGGATGCCCGCTCTTTTGCTGAAGTAGCAGAGTTTTCAGTCACGGGGTCGCTAAGGAGCGCCCTGTATTCCAGTCAAAGGCAAGACGGGTCTCTTGCTGGGATCTTCCGACGGCCGGGGGATCCATACCGGGTAGGCGGTGATGGGGTCTTGGAACGGTCCGTGACCCTGGAAACAGGCGAGCAGGTTTGGGTTGTGGTCATCCCTGTTGGGCAGGCGGCGTCAAATGGTTTGACCTGGCGTAGGGCATGTTTTCAAATGGCGCACAGTGGGGCGCTGGGGGGCCACAAGTCCAGCGACAAGACCTACAAGGTCCTTGCGCGTACGGTTTGGTGGACCGGAATGCGCGAGGACGTTCAAAAGTGGGTGGATCGTTGCCTTGTTTGCCTCAAGGCGAGGTCTCGACCTCGCAAAGTCGAAGCAGGAGTCTCGCGGTGTTTTGCCGACCATTGTTGGCAAGAGGTCTCTGTAGATTTTGAAGGGCCTAACCGGGAGGACCGCTGGGGATTCAGGTATACGTTGACCTATTTGGATTGCCTGAGCCATGCGGTGCTTGTGGAACCGGTTCGGTCCCTCTCGCACGCGGAAGTCCGTCGGGCGTTCGGAAAATGTATTTTTCGAAGCAGAACGCTGCCGACGCTAGTCCGTTCGGACAGAGGGACGGAATTCAAGAATGCGATGATGGCAGAATTCCTCACCCTGCTGAATGTCCAGCAGAAGTTCAGTACGGCCATGAGACCGTGCGAAATGGGCGCCAACGAGCGGATGCACCAAGAGGTGCAAAAGGTTCTTCATGTGACCCTGCGGGAGCTCGCCAACGATGAGACCGACGAATGGTCCGAGCTCCTCCCTCCCGTCGAGTACCTTCGACAACACTCCAGGGCCTCATGGGTACACGCCCAGAGACTTGGAGCGGTCCTGGTCCTTAGGCTTGGATCTTGAAAAGGACCTGATTAAGGAGAGCCTTCAATTTGAACCCGTGAGCGAATGGGCTCGGCGACAGTTTGGGCAGTTTGTGCAGCTGTCGCGGAAGGTTTCCCGGCATTGGGAGCAAGCCTCAGCAGCCAGAGCTAAGCTAGCGAATCGATATAGGCGCAGCTTGGAGCTCCAGGCCGGCGACCGTGTTGTTTGGCAAGCTCCAGTGCCCCGGGCAGAGGGGGCGGGGCGCGTCCCTTGGAAGCGTGGTCTGTCCGGGCCCTGGGAGGTGGTTTCCGTTCGTGGTCACCGCCTGCAGCTTCGTTTGGCTGCCGATGCTTCTGCCCGCCCGGTCGATGCTCACGCTGAAGATTGCGTTCTCGTTCCCGGCGACATGGATGATGAGCCACGTGCCTCAAGGGATGTTGTTCTTGAGGACGCGTCCGCTGATGAGCCTCTCTCTATCGGGCAGCGGGTCCAAGGAGAAGGAGCTCGACGTGAATTCGTCATGCAGCGGCGAGGACGGCAGTTTGTCCTCCGCATCGGTGATGTTGTCGCCTATACGAAGGGACGGAAGATCTGTTCTTTCGGACGTGTGACTCAGGTCTCAGTTGAAGAAGGGCTCATTGGAGTCCACCGGTATCGTCCGGTGACTGGCTCGCTTCGCGTGAAGTGGGTCCTCGCCTTCCTGGATGAGGATGGTGAAGTTTCTGAGACTGGGACCAGGCACTGTCTTGAACAGATTCGCTTGAAAGAAGTGGTCTCAAAGGCAGAGATCTCGAGGGATGGGACTCTCGCAGCCAGCACCAGCCGGAAGCTTGATAAAGCGGGCTACCGCTTGGTGAGCGAGGGTCCTGCGGGAATGCTCCTGGTTCAGGACATTCCGCGGACCGAACCAGTGTCGTGGGTGCAACTGTTTGCTGGCTTGGTCTACAGCGCCACAGTGGGTGCTGAGCGATGCCCCGGAGAGGCCGGAGTGTTGCGGAAGTGGCTTGTCAGTCAGCAAGCAACTAAGGTGCATTTCCTGGAGCTGTACTCGGGGCACGGTGGTTTAACTGCTGCTATCCGCCGGATGGGCTACGTGGTGGCCCCCCCTGTGGATCGTTTGTGCGCTTCATACGGGCGAAGGTGGGATCTTGGGCAGAGGGGCGACCGAGAGTTGGTCGACCTGCTCATTGCTTGGCTTGAGCCCTATGCGATCCACTTGGGTCTCCCATGCGAGGGATACAGCAGGATCGGGAATGGCAGCTTAACGGCGCAGGATGAGGCCATGCTGAAACACGCCGTTGAGGTTTTGCGGAAGCAAAAGGAAGACGAGCGTGTGGTCACCTTGGAGAACCCGGTTGGGAGTGCTGTGTTCCAGGCGGCGCCATTGGTTGAAGAGATCGGCGCCCTTGATAATCCGAAGCGACCGTGGGCCGTTGTCCGGACTGATGGCTGCCAGTACGGCATGGTGTCGCGGGCGGTCAACGATGGGTCTTTAGGCCAGGCGGTCGAAAAGGGGCAGCTATGGGTGGCTAACAAAGAGCTTTCAGGGTTTTCTCTTCGGTGCAAACGACCGGACGCGCTGAGCGTCACGGATCACGCTCATCGACCGGTCAGAGGATCGGTCAAGGTGCCGTGCGAGGACGGAGACACTCATGGGGTTTCCGCCGGAGTCATGAGCAGCTTCTACCCAGTCGCTTGTTGCGATGCCTATGCTCGTGCCGTGTTTGCCGACGTCCAGTCGAAGGTTATGGAGCGGGTCTTGTGCCCAGAATGTGGCGCTTCTTCGTCCTCCACTTCGACTAGCGGGCCGGGTCTGGGTGTTCCCGACCGGGTCGCGGTCAAAGAGGACACGACGGC